CAGGTCAATGCAGGGCTCCCCACCAGTCCCACTCTCAACTCCATTCTCCGATTCCCGCTCTTAGAGCTTTCACGTCTCTGTCCTTGCGGTGCTGATTCAGACGTAGCAGCGGCAGCAGGAAATTCAAATCTCAATTTCCAGAGGCGCAGGTTCCAGCTTCCACTCTGAGATTTTATCTGTTCCGGTTATAGCACTGGGATTGCATTTTCAGTTGGTTTCTCTGTTTAGTTCATTCCTGGGTTGGCAGGGTATATCTCCCCTTGCTTAGGACTCCTCACACCGTACCATTCCTGGATTCTAAGCTGGCTATCTCAGAGAGCCTCCGTAGCTGCTGTTATCTATCTGCCATGTTCTCCCGGAAGTCCAGTACTTCCCATTTTTAAAAAGCCTTGATAATCTGTAACCCAGACCATTGAATGAAGAAAACTTTTGTAATAAGCAGTGCTGAGACAATTGGATATCCACATCCAAAAGAATGATTTGAACCCTTATATCATATATAAAAATCATGAACCAGAGACCTAAATATAAGAGCTAGAAATGTAAAATTTTAGGAGAAACTATGGGAGTAAAACTTCATAATCTTTTCTGTGTGAGTGTATTCTTAGATATGATACCAAAAGCCAAGCAGTAAAAGAAAAAAATTGAACTTATCAAAATTAAAAACTTTCATGTTTCTAAGGGTGTTATCCAGTTAGTGAAAATAAAATGTACAAAATGAGAAAATATTTTTATGTCATGTCTGGTATTAACACTTAAAACTCAAATAATGTATTAAAATCTGCTGAGACTTTATAGTATAATTTTTTTAATTTTATTTAAGGAGGAAAAAAAAGCAGAGAAAGGGTACAAGTTATACAGATTTACAGAAAAAAATAAACAGTAGGAAATCACTAGTTAATGGATTACACATTGTCATCTTAGAAATAATTGTTCAAGTTACAAAACTAAAGCTTGTAAAGTGGACATTCCAACAGTGAGACTGCAAACAGTTCTGTTTAATAATCCAACAAAACTCAGTGATATCATTATCTATCTTATACACTTAAATATACATGCAGTTATATCATTTAGAGGTCTTTCTTTTCCTCTTTTGTACAATGACAATTACACATTTTGGGTTTTGTTGCTCCCATAGTTCTTATTACTTTTTTTGAAAGAGAGTAGAACCAAATGTGACATAACAGAACGAAGTCAGGCAAATCAAAAGAGTGGACATAATAGATAATGTAAAAGCATAATACAAGGTGATCAACAATGGCTACCATAATGCCTCCTGCTATCTCTAAAGAATTGCCTATATCATCAGTTATAATAAAATTGAAAAAAACAGTAAAGAATAAAACCGACAGAACCAAAACATTGGAGACATTATAGGTCTTCAGAAGTAGATAATAGTCAACCAGAATGGGCGTCCTAATGAATCCCACTATCTTCACAGCTGTTGCCTAAACTTTCGAAAATGCTACTATCAAGCAAAACAGAATAGAGGGACATCAGTCAAAACAAGATGGTGAGAGCAATACAGGGCTTTAAATCAAGATAATGGAAACTCAAAGTGGGTTACTATGATATATCCTGCTATTTTTTATTTATTTTTCCCTTAATTAAAAGGATAAAAATAAAAAAGTAAATAATGAAGTGGAGATTGAGATAAAAGATGGCAAAACAGCACAGATCAAAACATAACCATTTAAGCAGAATAGTGTTTCACCGCAAGATAATCCTGACATAAAAGTAGTTACCATATTGTCTCTTTCCTTGAAATCTTTGAGTATAACTTCGTATACTGTAGCATCAAACATATCAAAACAATGTAAAACCATTTAAGAGAATGACAGCATTACAGGGTATTTAGAATCAACTAACAGAAAATGAACAATGGTTTCTGTATAATCTCCTTGTCTTTAAAACTTTTTGCTTATATTATCATACATAATAAAATCCAATAAGATACAACCTGTTTAGACCAATGGAGACAGAAGAACAAAAGCTTGATGAGACTTCAAAACAAGATGATACTCAATCAACATTACCTATTAAGACATCATTTTCTCCAAAATAGCTGTTCCTATCATCCAATCTTCTCTGCCTCATTTCTGTTGAGCTCTTTTTCTGTCATTAGTTGTCAGTTTGTCTTCTGCATTTTGTTTTCTGCTCCATTCATTGTGGCCTCTCTGCCACTATTTCTGGATTCTTCGTATTTTTCTTTTTTAGAATACCCTGCAATATTCTCTGTAGAGTTGAATTGATGGTTGCATATTCCCCTAGTTCCTCTTTATCCTGGAAGCACCTTGTTTTTCCATCATTTTCCAGGGATAGTTGTGCAGGATATATCAATCTTGGCTGGAGATTATTATCTTTCAAAGCTTGTATTATTTCCCCCCATGCTCTTCGTGATTTGATGGTTTGTGCAGAGAAGTCTGCTGTAATTCTGATGGGTGTTCCCTTGTAAGTGATCTGTTTCTTGTCTCTGACGGCTTTTAATATTCTGTTCTTGTATTGCATTTCTGGAATTTTAATTATTATATGCCTGGGAGTTGCTCTGTTTGGGTTGTAGGTGGCTGGGCTCCTGTATGCTTCATACAACTGAGTATCTTTACCTTTTGCTAAATTAGGAAAATTCTCCTGGATTATTTCTGCGAGTAGCTTTTGTAGTTCATTTGTTTGTGTCCCTACTTCTTCTTTTATGTTCTTAATTCTTAAGTTATGGATCCTCTTATCACCTTCTAGTCTTTGTATTATTGCTGTTGTTTCTTTGTTATTTTTAAGAAGTTTTTCATTTCATTCTCCCATATTACAAATCTGTCCTCCAGTTCACATAATCTGTCCTTAGTTTCTTTCAAGCTGTTATGCCAGTTTTTGATAGTTTTTAGTTTACTGGTAATCTCTTTGAACCTGCTTCACGTATTCTATGCTTTCTCTATTTTCTCCATCAAACAATTCTCCCCTCTTTTTTTGTTCTTCCATTCCACCATCTGTTTTTTCTTGGGTGGTGCTTAGCATTTCTCTAACTATTCTGCTTATGTCTAGCTTCAGGTCATTAATAACTTCATTCCTGAACTTGTCTATGAGGTTCTGGAGATAGCGCTTTATATCTATTGGTGCTGTGTCTGCTGTTGCCTCTTTCTCAGGATTGGGGGCCGAGAACCCTTTCTTGTTGCTGCCTCTTCCCATATTATTTGTTCCTTATATATGCAAGCGTATATAGGAGGCCCAGCTTCCTTCCCTGTCAGCCACAGTCTGATTGAATTGCTCTGGCTAGGTGTTCCCGCCCACCGCAGGGCACCGGGAAGTTGCAGACCAGGCAGCCTATGCAGGGCCCGCCCCTCCAGGTCACCTTCAGGCGCTGGGATCTGGGTTGTGCTAGCCTACTGGGTCTCAGCCAGCAGCGTCACGTAGGCTAGGCACTGCTCATCAATCCCACTTGAGAGGGGGATACGTGGCTGAAGTCACTGCAGCACCCTGTTCCCGCAAGTCTGCCTGGTCCCAGAATGTCCTGTTGGAGTCTCCTAAATTGTGGAAGAGTCCCAGGTTCTCTCACTCACCACAGATCAATGCACAGCTCCCCGCCCGTCCTGCTTTCAACTCCGTTCACAGATTCTCATTCTCAGAGCTTCCGTGCGTCTCTCTCCCTGCCGAGATGATGTAGACACAGCAGCGGCGGCGGGAAACCCAAATCGCGGCTTCCAATGGCGCGGGCTCCAGCTTCCACACTGAGGTTTTTCTGTTCCTGTTATGACACCAGGATTGCATTCCCTGTTGGTTTCTCTCAGCCCAGTTCGTTCTTGGGTCAGCAGGGCATATTTCCACTTGCTTATGATTCCTTACTCCGCACCATTCCTGAATTCTAAAGTGGGTCTTTCAGAGAGCCTCTGTAGCTGCTACTATCTGTCCGCCATGTTCTCCTGGAAGAGAGATTTTAAATAAATAATATTTTTCCAAAGGAGATATATAGATGGCCAATAGTAACATAAAAAAACCAATATTTTCAGTCATTGGAAAAATATAAATCAAAAGTACAATGAAAGACAACTTTGAACCCATTAAAATGACTATAATCATTTCTTTTTCATTTTTGACAATATAACAGGTGTTGGCAAGAAAGAGAAATTAGAACCCTCATTCAAGTGTTAGTGGGAATATAAAAGAGACCAGCTGCTATAGAAGTTTGACATTTCCTAACAAATTAAACACAATTATTATATGACTCAGCTTTGCGTTTCATCCATTTAAGGTGCTTTCATATAGTCTCAAGAAAATTAAGAACAAATATTCAAACAAAAACATGAATACAAGTATTCATAGCAGCATTATTCATAAGAGCCAAATATCCATCAACTGACGAATAGCTAAACAAGATGTGGTATATCCACATGATGGAATAAACAGCATTAAAAGGAGTAAGTACTGACCTGCTACAATGTGGATGAACCTTCAAACTGTTCCATTAAATGAAGGTCATCACATATGACCACATATTATGTGAAATGTCCAGAAGAGTGAAATCTGTAGAGAAAGTATTTTAGTGGTTGCTTAGGGCTTGGGCAGGGGCAGGAGAAATAAGTGGGTGAAGGCTTAACAGTAAAAGATTTCTTTTATAGATCATGAAAATGTTCTAACATTATGATAGTTCCACTTATCTGTGGGTTAAGGTCCTTGAATGTGTGCTTTAAAATGATAAATTCTGTGATGCGAATTATATCTCAATAAAGCTGTTTTTAAAAATAAGTAGGGGCTGGGATAGCTCAGCGGCACAGCACCTGCCTGGCAAGTGCAAGGTCATGAGTTTGATTTCTGGTACAAAAATAAATAAATAAATAAAATTGCTGGAAAGAAAAGATCTATAGGAATTCAGTAATTTGAGCTCACTCTTTTAGCAGTCCCATGATGCCTTAATCACCAGAATCTATTATAACCCCGACAATTCTGTGTTCTGGAAATGTGACCTAAAAATAGTTGTTGCTGAACAGTTTCACAAGTCTCTTCTTTTCCCACAGGTATCAGGAATTAAGAGAGTCACTCCCACAATGCCGGCTTCCATGGGGTGCTGAGAGGGAATATGGGGGAATAATTCCAGTTGCGCTCCCTGAGGAACACAGGCCCAAATGTGAACCTCCTTGTGTCATGGGCAAAGGACATCAGCATTATGGATTTGGTGGAGAAATCTGTTCAAGGTAACTAAGCTTTCTGCTACTCCCGTAAAGGCCTATATAATTATTATTTTTAAATCTCTCTTCAGTCTTTTACCAACTCAAATCTGCTTCCACATATTCCTTTTACTATTTATGAAGACATGGTGGAAAATTTAATTATGATTTCTAATTGTGAGATCAGCAAAAAGTTTGTTTATGAATTTTTTTGCTGACCTTAGAGATATTAAAGTATTGTCCTTAGGGATAGTAAAGAAATTCTGATTAACTTAATTCCCTCACTTATTGTATCTCATTAAAAGTAAATGGAAGTGAGAGAAAGGGAGAGAAGTATTACATGTAAAATGATTTCAAGCAAAGAGCTGACCTTTTGTACAGATGCTCTTGGCTTTGGAACTTTTGACTTGTCATTTGTTCAATCTTTACTATAGTCATGGGAACCTGCTAGGCACTCATTTCAAGTATTAAAAGTATTATTTCAATAATAATTTACAATGCTTACATCCACTTCTGGAAACTATTCAGGAAGCCATGACAGCAGGAGCTGGGGATTTAGCTCAGCGGCATAAATGCCTGACTTGCAAGCAGGCAGTCATGAGTTCAATCCCCAATATCGATAAAAAGGAAAAAGACAAAAAAAAATTAAGCAAAGCAGAAATGTCTAAAAGCCATAAATTAAATGTCATATTAAATATTTACTAAAGATGATCAGATTTACTCAGAGCAGAATCAAACCCACAGAGCCTACTTTCTCCTGCTATCTAATAATCCTGATTACCTGGTTTGCTAACAATCTAGTTAACTAAATTTTTGTTGTTACTTTTTATTAGAATCTCTGTAATACATAATGACTATTTTCATTGTGGCTGTTTGCTACATGTACATGACACATCTAAATTCTTTTTTTACCTCTTCCCCGCCCTTATTTCCCCCTCCCTCTATCTCTTGGTATCTTCCCATTTGCAGACAATCTTATCTTCAGTTTGCTTTTCCCTTTTATTTTGCTCTTTAATTTACTTATACAGTGGTATACCACCTTGATTCACAAATTGTTCACAAATTGAAGCATTTGGCAAAATGTTGGTTTGGTTTGCAAACTCTGCATCAAGTGACAAACATGATGTGGCCATCTTTCCCACATGAACAGGCACATGACCATCTTTTCCAGTACTGTGGAACAAATTAAATTGTGAATGGAGATAGCACTGCACTTTGGGTTTCTCATATTAGATAAACTATACAGTATTTAATGTGTATCTGATTTATTTCACTTAACATGGTTTCAAAGTACATCCATTTTCCTGTAAATTACTAAAATTTTTCCTTGTTTATAGCAGAATTTTTGACATAAATATATTTAAGGAAAACTCTTCTAAAGGAACATTAGCAATGTTTACTGCATGATGTTCATGTTTCAAAAATTCTAAATGAGGCCAGTCAGCATCTAATTCAGTATCCATTCCCTGAAAGAGTGAAATCACTGTGATGAAAATTTATGACTCTATTTTCCCTTCAATAAACATTGGCAAAGTAGTCAAAGTAGTTAATTTGTCTATGAAAAAGGAAATGTATTCTTTCTCTAAGCTGCTATCAAATTGTGAAAAGCTATTAAATAGTTCTGAGTGCTCTGTGAACTAAAGAATACTTTGAATTTCTTAGGGAACTTTTATTTTCCTAATACTCTATAAAACAAAATCTCTTCTAATGTCTAGAAGATGAAATAAATACTAGATTTATCAGCAATCAGCCACCAAACAATAATGGGGGAACAGCCTTGTCCCATTAATTTTAGTGAGTGGCAGCCAAGGAAAGAAAATCCTGTGTAGTTTATTCCACGCTCTGACTTGATTCCCATTGAGGCATTTGGAGCAAGAAAGTTCTTTGTACCATGTAGTCCAAGATGGTTAGCACCCTGCCTGCTCACCTATAGATAGCTAATAGCATCCTTCATTGTGACAACCAAAATAAAACCACCCCACATATTCCCGTATTCTCCCTACAAGTGTCAGGGCCCACAAAGAAATCACAGTATTGATTAAAAGTCATTTTTAATTCCATTTCCACATTCCAAATATATTGAGGCAAGGTAAGTCTACAAAATACTTTTTTTCTCCAATTGAAGAAAATATTCAAAGTATAAATGGGTTGTCCTGTTAAGGGAAAAAAGAGAGGCAAAGGTCTGATGATGATTAGGAAAATTATTCTGTATCAGTAATTTTCTCAGTCATCTGAATGGGTTCAACACTCACCATCAACCCTTTTCTTTTTTTCTCACAAAAGATAGCCATGGCTACCAGCAATGAGAGATTCATGAAAAGCACAATACCTGCTTTACTATTTGTGAGCTTCCCACAACCAGAACATCCCACTTGCCCAGGTAGAATCCAGAAATCCATTTCCCTTTCTCTCCATTGGGCAGGATGCCAGTTTGTGCCCTACATTCTGTCAATCACCTCTGCCCTAGACTTTGATTGGTAGGTTAGTAACTGCATTGGGATGGGTGTTCAAAAGTACCGAGTGGGCACAGTGAATACTATAACATGTAAGAAAATCCTACAGATGAGGTCCATCTCATTTGACCACCACCTCCCAATCCCAGCTCCTTTCTTCAAGGGAAACACAGTTACCAATATGGCGTGTCTCCCAGCACTCCTTTCGTTACCTGTTTGCCCAATTTTACTAATGCTCATTGAAAATATATGATTGATTTGACTGATATCTGACATCATTTAATACATAGTATTAAGTATAGTATTCTTCGCAATCTAGGTGTAGCCCCGTTTCGATAAACACAGATTTACTCTTTAACTTCTCTTTGGAATTTCTTGAACCTATACATAAATGTTTCTTAGGTAGAAGTGCTGGGTCATGACATATGAATATTTTTTATTTTGTAGATTTAGCCTTAATGACTTAAATTCTTACAATAGTATCTAAAAATCACCATTTCCTCACACTTTCAGCTATCATATTTTAAAACTATAACTGTGTGCAATATTTGGTTCCTTTATTAGTTAGGCTGAATATTTGTTATTTTTGTGTTTTATATATGGCTCTTTACGTTTTCTTTTCTACTCTTATTGTTTGTTCACTTTTATTGCTTTTATTTTTAGATCCTGATTGATTCTTAATGCTCTGGAGATCAATCCTTTATCTATTATATATGTTTCTTCCTTATATTGTTTTATTTGAACTTTTTATGATGTCCTTTGTCTTAATAAATTTTCTTTTAGCTTTTATTTTTGAAAAATCTTATTTAAACCAGGCATAGCAGTATATACTTGTAATCACAGCTGTCTCAGGAAGAGGCAGTATGATCAAAAGTTTGAGCTCAGGGCTGGGAATATAGCTCAGTGGCACAGCACCTGCCTGGCAAGCGCAAGGTCCTGAGTTCAACTCCTGGTATCCAAAAGCTAAAAAATTTTTTAAAAGTTTGAGCCCAACCTGGAAAACTTAGAGATTCAGTGAGAACCTGTGTCAAAATAAAAAATAAATAAAAAGATGAGATATAGTTCAGTGCCAAGGCCCTGGGTTCAATCATACCACAAAAATAATTAAATAAAATAGAATATTTAAAGGCCTGTCCTACCACCTAAGAAAACAGTCCTGTACATTTTCTTTTAATATCTGTATATCTTTTTCTCAGTTCTTTACATTTGTTTTGATTTGTTTGTTTGTTTATTTCTTGAGTCAGGGTCTCACTGTGTAGTCCAGGCTGGGCCCAAGCTGGCCTCAAACTAACAGCGCTCCTCCTGCCTCAGCCTCTGGAGTGCTGGGATTACAGATAAGCATGTGCCACCATCCCTGGAAGTTCTTTAAAGCCATCTGAAATTACCTTTTTGAATAGTATCAAATAAAGTACATTATTTTCCATGTGGATAGTCAATGTTTCCCGTACTGTTCAGTGAAAAACACATACTTTTCAACTAATTTAAAATTCTACCTCTTCATAACCTGAATTTCTATGTATTCATGGTTGTATTAACAAATCTCTGGTTTTTTTTCTTTTTTTTAAATCCATTTTATTCAAGGATATCTTCTTACTTACACTGTGTTAAAAAGATACTCAATTTAATCTTTTCTTTCATTTCAGAAAACTTCCTATTGAACAATTCTATTATTTGACACAAAACAAAAAAAGTGACGTCTATGGAAATGATTCTTTGTAAGTCTGGAGATTTTCCCCTGCCTTATATTAAATTAAATAATATTTATAGTGGAAATAAATTATATGAGAAATTTAAAAGCCCCTACATGGGGACTTTTTGAGAAACAGTCTTCCTTTGTATTAAAGATCATTAATAGTATAAATAATGACTAAAAAAAGTTAATAAAAACATAGTTTGTAGCATTTAAACAAGTGTACAAAATTTTAAAAATAATGAATAGTAATGCTCAAAGGAATTCCTACTAATCATTTTGATTTATTTCTATTTATTTAATCTAATAAGAATCTTTCCGGGCTGCAGATATAGCTCAGCAGCACAAGCACCTGTCTGGCAAGCTCAAGGCCTTAAGTTCTATTGCTGGTACCAAAAAAGAAAAGAATCTATTTCTGTTAAGAGTCATTAAAAAATGCCACGTGGCCCTCAATTTTTAACTGGAATTTTATGAGAAGGTATGTTATAATCATCTACAAATAACTCTCGAAAAATTACTGCCTTAAGCTGGGTGTGTTGGCATACTCCTGTAATGCCAGCATTCGGGAGGCTGAGGCAGAAGGATCACTACAGGTTTGAGACCAGCCTAGACTACAAAGTGAGCTCAAGGCCAGCCTGAACTGCATAGCAAGACTGTCTCAAAAAGACCAAAAAAAAAAAAATTACTACCTTAGTAATTTTCAGCTGTCCTTCAGGTAGGCGATAATAAGTGGTTAATGGACTCTGTACTTAAAAGATACTATTTTCTAGTATATTAAATTATTTTTATTCTTTGAAATAATTTATTGTGTATATTACAAAATATAAAATTTTATTTTCTAGGGGCTGGGGATTTAGCTCAGTGGCACAAGTGCCTGCTTGGCAAGCAGGAGGTCATGAATTCAACCCCCCAGGACCCTGCAAAAAATCACTTCTTTACCTTATATGTGTTACCTTGTTTATGGGTTGAAAAGTTAGTGCAATATAGGATGTAACCACTAGAGGGAACCAGAAAGATAGAATTCATAGTAGCCTGGGCTTTATCCTTTTGAGCATAATGCACTGCACAAAGTACATGTGGAACAAGGAATAGGATGCGCTGGTTTGGGCCAAGAAAGTGATGTCTCTGAGCATTTTTTATTTCTCCCAATTTTGAATTTTTAAAAAAAGATTTCCTATTATGTAAAAAAAAATTGTGATTTTTTTCATTTTCAATGAAATTAATTTTAGTCACATACTTATCAATATCTTAGTAAAATTTGTCACATGGGAACATTTACAAACAATAGTAGTCAATGTTTTGTATACGTGGCCAATCTAGTAACTTTAAGTTCCTTGTATTGGCATTATTCATCACCATCCCCCATCTCTCCATCTCTAAACAGGAAATAAATTTTTTAGTTGTGTTCCCACAAACTCAGAGTCCAGTTATATAAACTTTTATGGTTCACGTGAATTGTGTGTTTATAATGCATTGTAGAATAATAAAATTATACAACCAACATTCCTCTTTCTAGTGACTATCCTCTAGCATGGAGGAATATCTGAAAAATTAATATATTCAGTTTCACCAATTTTTACCACCTCACTGATGGCACTGTGTTCACTTTTCATGCTTGTAATTTTTCGGGCCTAGTTGTGTAGGCTGTAACTAATTGCCAAAGTCAAATATAAGTACAGATCCATCCCTTTGTAGTATCCCTTTCTAGGACTATTGCATTATCAAAGTAGTTAATCAAAGCACAACCAGTTCAGAAGTGGCATATCTCTAGGAGCTTTCTCGGTTTGTTGTATCCTCTCTGTGCTAACCAGCCCACATTTACTGTGGTGAGAGGTCAGCAACCCTGGGTAAAGGAACAAAGCAGGTCTGGTATTTATGTATCCCCTCCAAGTAGGCCATCCACGGTCACTTTAGGTCATGCTATTGCACCACTTGAGTGATGCCTGGCTCCCTCAGGGCTCTTTGGCCACGGCGTGGTTAGGAGACTGAAGGTCGCTGAGAACCAAAGTTAGTTCCTGTACCTTCACTGCAAATAAGAAATGCACAAAGGCTGACGCAAGGACTGAAGGTAAAGTAAGTGGGATGGCAAAGCTGACCAACAGACAGTTGAGACATGAAAAGTACCATGTCCCTTTGTCTTACCAATATGAACACTTTCCAAAAATTAATAAAAAATATTCTAATGACAATTTAGTTTGAAAATGGAATATGTCTTTTTTTTAAAGTAAGTTTGTGGTAGAAATATAGTTTAAAATATCCTTAATTTAATTTAGAATTTGTTTCTTATTTTTGTTCTAGGTTGCCTAAACCACCAAATTCAGCAGTAGAGTAAGTATACAGCCTACATTTTTCTCCCTTGTTATAATCAAGGAAGAAACACCAGCATTCCACCTCACTAACATGAGGACAAGTTAGACTTTTCATGAAATTCTTTTCCAGGTTTCTTTTTTTCATAAGGACACCCATCATGTTGAAATAGGGGCCCACTGTACTTTAATATGACCCCTCCTCTTAATTATCATATGTAGATTAACACCATTTATAAATTAAATCACAACATAAGGCCTTTGAGCTTGGATTTCAACATAGGGATTTAGGAGAGAGAAAAAAATTCAACCCATAGCATTGGTCTTGTTTTTTTCTACTTAATTAATTTTCTAGTTAAAATAACTTGTCTCTATTCCTTGAACAGCCCAATCTCTGTTTTCTTCTAGTTTTAGACAACCCTCAAGGGTTTTGGGTTTGTTTTCCTAACCTTTACTAGTTTTGCAAATGATAAGAACTTGTTTTTAACTTGTTTTTGTTCATTAGTTATTTGTTTTCTTTGCTGAGACAAAATAAACCTAAAATTAAGAAAACAGGTTTATTTTGCTCACAGTTTATAGAAGTTCCAGTCTGTAATCCACAGGCTCCAGGGCTGGGTGGCACAGCAGAGGGGCATCACAAAAGAGAAAAAAAACAATTCACAGGTTAGAAGCTGGAAAGCAGGAGGTGGCAAAAGCAGCAAACAATAAATAACAACAACAGCTCTCTTCCCGCCCCTTATATTTTATTCAGGCTATGTACCCTCAGGGCAGGTAGCGCTCCAGCCAGTGTGGGGCACCCTTAATCCCAGCATCACACACCCTGAATCCACTCATCTCTGAAAAGCCCCAGCTATGATCACATGAAGCTTTGGAGCTACATCTAGACACAAGCCATAACAGTGGTCTAGAAAAACAATGTGCAGTGTACTTTGTAGGTTAATTTTTTCAAAAAATAAATAATCTGGAATAAAAGTTTAATCCAAGATGATTGAATTACTGAACTTAAACACTCAAAACATTCAGTAAAATAAACTCCCTGATTTTTTAAAAGCAGGGAGTTTTTTAAATTCTTCCTCTATATTCTAAAAACAAAATTCACATATCATCTGCTTTTTTACCAGTTATGAAAGTTTCTCACTGATAATTAGGAATGACTTCTTTAAAAAATACATTTAGTTTTGATTTGTTTAGCAAAATTTAGAACATCTCATATGTTTTATGCCAGATTTTCCACACAATGTTAACTTCATGAGTACAGAAAATTTGGGTCACTGTGATATCCCCAGGGATTAGAACAGTAAATGCCATGATGAAGGGTCCCAAGAAATGTTTGATAATTTTTTTCACTGTACTTCCTTTTCTTCTGTTTCTGTATTATTTGCTCAATGAATCTTAGAGAAATCTGCTTGCCTTATCCAGTCGAACACCCATACCATACACACACCCCTCGTGGTGCCATGTTCCCAACCTTCACGTTTCCAAAGGAGCTCTACTCACGTTACAAACCCCGCACTCACCGACCATTTCCTCCCACGGTGCCAACCAAGACTTATGATACAACAGTTTTGAAGACAAGAGGTAAAATGTGACTTGAGATCAAAATTGTATTGATTCGTATTGGAGTTTATTTGGTATTAAAATTAAACCAGGGAACACACAGGACTCAAGACACAAATGTGTAACCAATCATAGCTTAGAAAGTTGTTCTCACCTCTGGGTGCACTGCACAATCAGTGGGCAAAGGCATTTTGTTGAATGAATTTAGTCTGTGAAGTACTGTAGGCATAGTTCAAGAAATGGCCCTATAATACAGTTCCTCTGTGCATGAATACTTAGGCCAAAGGCAAGGACAGAATACTTCTATCACCGGTATCAACCATAGGACTCTAAAGCAGACTGTAACATTTGGAGTGAAGGTGTTTAAGGGCAGAGACTGTTGAGTCAGGTTGCATGAGTGGGAAGCTGGGTCTGCCACTTCATGGATGATGAGCAGCTGTCTTCTCTGCCTCTGTGTCTTGATCCATGAAATGAGAATATTAGTACCTACACCAGAGATGACAGAGATAAATAAAGATAAAGCAGTTAATACTCTGATGTCATAGAATGACTCCAGTATGTGTACACCATGCTGAACTTTTCTGTTACCTCTCAGACCAGTCAGCACTGACACAAGGCATGTAAGCCATATCAAGTATGTTGACTGTTGAGTGTCACTGTCATGCTTAGCTATAGGACAGCAGTGAGACAAGTACAAAAGTTCTTAAGACATGATACCTATGTAACTGAGCCTTTTATGATCTTGTTAGGGAAACTGTCAAAGTAAATCCTTCTTTTCCCATCCTGAATTAGATAATTTTAGAAATTCTGTGAAGGCATGTGATTAGACAGCAGTCACAGAAACATGGGTTGAATTCATAAAAATACCTTTCACTGCAGTCGTAAATAAGGGGCTAAAGAAACAAGTCTACTTCTTAGGTTTCTACTCTTCATAGCATCTACTTCTGTCTGACCAAGTCAGTAATTCTTAGGAGATTTTAAAAAGATGACACACTTTTATAAAAAGGTCTTTCCAGAAACCTGTACTATTTGGTTTTCATTTACACCGTTCTATTAGAAACTCATAGCGAGTAGATTAATAGTACAGGGTCTGGAATCAGATTGCCTGAGTTTAATTTCCACAGACTAGCTGTTTGCCTCAGTTTCTTTGTTTTCTCTGTGCCCAAGTTTCTTTGTTCACTGAAGCAGGAATTTCGGTACCTTTCTTTGAACAGTGTTATAAAGATGATATAGATAAAACATTTGTACAATGCCTGGCATATAGTAAGTGTTCAATAAATGCCAGCTTTTGTTCTTATTATATATGAGAGTGGGTGTTCAGAGCATTCTTAAAAGTTAAGATGAGGGGCCAGGGATATAGCTCAGTGGCACAGCACCTGCCTGGCAATGTGAGGTCATGAGTTTGATCCCCAGTACAAAAAAAAAATATATATATGTTAGGATGAGATCAAACCATGCCAAGTTTGGTACATCTTATCAAATTACAAACTAAAATCTAAGAATTTGTATTATTTAAAATACTCTATGGCCAGGAATTTAGCTCAGAGGCATCAGCGCCTGCCTGGCAAGTATGAGGTCCTGAGTTCAATCCCCAATATTAGAAGGAAAAAAAGGTATCTCTGGATACCTTTTTTGGTAAACAGGTACTAACTCCGTTTTTGAAAGTTCTTGATATATCTTCAGAGAAAAGCAGGTAGTAAGGTCATAAAAATGCATGTGCTGAGCCTCTAGAGACCAGCAAGAGGACCCTGTAAGGTTTGTCATGTAAGTAAGGGTCTCTCTAAGCACTAGTAAACTCTATTACTGCTGAAGATGGTAGGGGCTCAGTACAGTCTCACTGTTTGTGGCCCATGTGCTGTTCATGAAAAGGCTCAGGACTTCAAGAGCGAGCCTCGTATCTTGAAGTGTAACCAGGGGATAGTGTAGCTCAGCAGTACAGCATGTGCTTAGCCATAACTTTACAGCTAGACTGTTCCCTAGCATTTATCTCTAATTCATACTGTATTTATTGCATCAATAAATCTTATTAATTAAAAGATTTCTTATTTATCCAGGATAATAGTGCTTTTCCTGAAATTTTCAGGTAATCCTTACAGATACGAACTACTTGATTTCCCCATGGATTCAAAGAAGAGAGCATTGAGTTGGCCAGGTCAGGATGTATACTATAACGTAAGTATAATGTGTGTTTAAAAGAAAGTAAACTGTACATTATACTTTATAAACTTACTTACCTAGTAAGTTTATAGGGAGTCAAAAGATAACCTTGTGTTATTTGCTATTTAGGTAAAAAATGAGATTCTAACTGTGATTTGCATTTTTCTATTTTTTTTAACTTGCTTTTATATACTGTACTTTGGTAGTCATGGAAAACTTCCACAGATACTTATTTTTTAAAGTTTCCCCTCAAAAAAAGATAGTAGGGGAAGGACTGTATTTCATACACTCTGTTTCCCTAACCCTATTAAGATTCATGGTATATCAAGTAATTACAAATAGGCATGGAGTAAATGAGAGATTTTCAGAAAGATTTATAAGCTATTATTATGTCAGATTATTAGTATATTGCATGAAGTATAAGACAGTAGCCACCATTTATTGAGAAATGACTACATACTAACCACTTCAGATATGTCATATTCTCTTACAATAACCTCTTAAGATTAGTATCATGAATCCCATTGTAGATATGAGGAAACTGAAGCTCAGAGTTTATAACTATGTCATAGTCATAAAACACAGAAATGTAAGACAAATTTTTGCCCTTAACGATAACACCACATGAATAGAAAATTTTAAATCAGGGCTGGAGATTTAGCTCAGTGGCAAAAGCACCTGCCTTGCAAGCAGGCGGTTGTGAGTTCGATCCCCAGTACCGATAAAAAAAAAAAAAAGAAAATTTTAAATCATGAGGGAAAATACCTAGACACTTGAAAATGAAAATAGCCACCATTTATTGAGCAAGCAATACCATTGTGAGAAGCAATACCAAGGGTTTTCAGCATATGATCCCTTTTCAGTAGCAATCTGTGAGACAGGCAAAAAATAAATACGAAATGTTGTGAACACTGAAGTTTTGAGGAAACTGTTACGACAAGCCAACTTATGGTCACTGGAGTGTTGCATGGTGACCTCTAAAATAAGCAATTTCCTATTTATTTTTTAAAGTTGTATGTCAGGACAGTCCTTGAAGAATCACCTAATATATTAGGTCTCTTTCATTCTAAGCAACCTGGAAATACAATGTTATTTTCAAACCATCTGTCATTACATGTTGTTCTAGACAGAATCTCCACTGTAGGACAGTTTCTTCTCCCCCCTGGAGTGCTGCTTTCATCATGTCATACCCTTCTGCAGCCACTTGGAATAGCTTCCCTTTGCCTGTGTGTAAAAGCTCAAAGCTCTGAGTTCAGAGACGCTGAGGGATACGGCCTTACTTCCCGCCCTGCAGCCCGGCTTCTCTGGCTGGGCCCTGAATAGATTCACACTGGTTCCCTTTCCTGGGATGCTTATCTAAAATTTTCTCATTCTCCAAAGTTGGCCAAACTTGTTTTTATTCTTAGTAGAGCAAGAACCAAGTCAGAAGACCTACATTCTAGGTGGTCCAAGATTATCTTTTACTGACTCAGTGATACTGTTGTAAGCACATTGTTTCTCTTCTCTGAGGTTTTTTTTTCTGAGTTTTAATTAATAAAAGTATCTGTAATTTCAGTAAATCTGTTTTGCAAATCTCATAAACCCTGAGGATGAAGTGAAAGTTCTGAAAATTAGAGAATACAGTACTATAATTTATAAGACGTTATTATTTCAGCAGAAGTGGTATCTCCTCTGGCTTTCACCACACTTTCTACAACCAGTAACTTTTCACATCTGTCTTTTTTTAAAATCTATTTTATATCTCAACTAAATTACATGCTCTTTGAGGACAGAATATTTTTTGTTTATGCCCCCACACCATGCTTTCTATATAAATATTCTTGACTGATTTGATTCTTTGGCCACTCTTAACGTTTAGTCTCACTTTCTTAATGTGTTTTAACTGGACTTAATTTTCAACTTTTCAGTTGTGCGCTCTCTTTTTTTTTTTTTTTTTTTTTTTTTGCTTATCCTTAATCCCAGTCATGTTTTGCACTTCCCTAGTGTGTTGGTTACTTTTTTCTCATTGCTGAGACAAAATACCCAACACCCAAAGTTAAGGAAGAAAAAGTTTATTTAGCTCACAGTTTGTGAAGGTTCCAGTGCATAATCAGCTGGCTCTAAGGCAGAGTGGCATGGCACAGGGGCAACAGTTCATGGTAGCAGAAGATAGCAAAAGCAACAAGAGCAAAGAGGAAGGAGTGCAAAAGACTCTGTCTCTTATATTGTATGTAGGCCACACCCACCCTAACAGCACTCACACCCATAATCCCATCATTGGAACATAAATCAGTCACAAACTCTGGAAGCCTGCCCCCATGACTGCATGAATCTTTGGGGAGACATCCAGACACAAACCATAGTACCTACATAAAGAAATAACAAAATTGATACTGAGCTTTATGGAAGTACCTTGTGGCTCACCTTTTTAAAATTTCTTTGGTTTTGGTTTTAGTTTTTGTTTCTGTTTGTAATTTTTAAAGGCAATCCCTTGTGCTTGTCTTCCATTTTCCTACCCTTTATCCCTTAATTGGCAGAGGGAATCAAGAGAGTTTAACTTTCTTTGTACTTAATAAAAGAGAACTTTTTTTTTTTTTAAAGACTGAGAATCTAACCCAGAGGTGCCTTACTACTGAACTGTTTCTTCACCCCTTTTATTTTTTAAGACAGTGTCACTTTAAATTACCCATGTTGGGCTCAAACTCCCAATTCTAGTACTAATCTTTCTTACTGTTGTACTAGTGACTGGCAACCTGGCTGCACATTAGAATCACCTGGGGCACCTTTAGAACTCTCAATTCAGCTGGGCGTGGTGCCTCACACCTGTAATCCCAGCACTGGAGAGGCTGAGGCAGAAGGATCCTTGAGAGTTCGAGACCATCCTAGGCTACAAAAATTGAGCTCAAGGCCAGCCTGAACTGCATAGAGACCATGTCTCAAAAAGACAAAAACAAAAAAATCCAAAAAACAGAAGTCTCAGTTCCCAGATGTACTCTCTGTTCCTTAACTCAGGGCCTGGGTATTGGCAGGCTAATACTTTTCTCTCACTTCCTGCACCCAGGGGAGGAGGAAGAATGCCAATACTGTGCCCCATAAGTAGTTCTTAACCTATGTCTCCTAGCCATAAAGAACTCTAGAAACCGTATTTTAGTATTTTTCATCCAAACCAATGAGAAAGTATATATAACATTAACAGTGAATTAATTTTAAAGTGGATCAGCTCCTAGCTCTAAAATTTACTGCTCTATGACCTGGGTAATATACTTAATCCTTTAATATCACATCCCTAATAGATAAAACAGGAATAATCACAAAATCAACCTTTATTCTCAGGGTTGGATAAAAAAAGCTCCCAGAACTCTATTAGTATATAATGAGCACATAAAAGATGTCAGGTGCTATCAGTATTATTTATTCCAATGATTATAATGCTTAGTTTACCTCACAACAATAAGAAATTGGGTGATCTTAGAAAGATTATTCCAAATGAAAGGGCTTAGCCTTTTAAAATTGAAGTGTGGGGGCTTAGTTTGAATAGAATATTTTAAATGTCATTTTGCTGTCATCCTTTCCCATCACCACTGAGTGAAGCTGTGCCTCAGGATTCTTCCCTATCCCAACCCCAGACCTGCCCTGTGTTCTTCTGTCTGTCTCTATGTTCCCCACCAGAGCTGTTACTGATCATTGCACACCTCACTCTGACCAGGATCTCTCGTGTTCCTATCTCTGGCTGCTCAGATCTCTTGTCACTAACCATTTCCATTAGCAACATAGCCATCCATGTCTTTTGCTTTTACAACTGGCAAACATAAACCTATGTTAATATTCTACTTTTCCTTATTTGCTTAAGTGGTTGGCAACTTTAGCCCTATTTCTCAAGAAGAGAGGCATCTAGTCTTAGTCTTTTATATATACAAAAATAGTCATTAGAGTGAAATTTAACCCCAGCACTTGGGAGGCTGAGGAAGGAGGATTGTTGCAAGTTTGAGACCAGCCTGGGCTACAAAGTGAGCTCAAGGCCAGCTTGAATTGCATAGCGAGATCCTGTCTCAAAAAGACAAAAGAAATTTATGTTGCAATCATTTTTGAGTAAGGTGAATTATAGTCACAGAAGGGTCATAAACATCCCTGAGACTATTTGAAATGTTTTATCAAAACCATTTTCAAAACCTACCTAAACCTATTTATTCAAATAATTTTCTTTATACCTCAATATTCAGATAGACCTTTGGCTTCCCCCTTCAAGAGAGCTCACTTGTATTACCCAGAAAAAAAAGCTGAGCTGCCTACCTCATTTTAGTCTAAAAGGCCCCTCACTCTCCCAAAGTCCCCATCCCTGAGACACAGTGTTTCTCCACGACAGCACCCATAATCCAAACTCATCCTCAGGTGACATAATAGATTTGGTGAGCACGTAGGTGCCTCTTTTGGAAAAGCATCATTAAATAACGATATGCATAAGTAGACCTCTCCACTGCTGCAGACACCCTGGGCCCCACCCTCCACTTGCTTGGCCCCGTAACATCCAAGGAATCCAGAAGGGAGACAAAATGGCACCCTTATTGTCCCCACCACCCATGTGTTCTGTCTCGAGACTCACAGCCTCCCTGCCTCCCTGTTCCAGCGTAGCAGTGCTCTTCTTTCATCTCTTTACCTCTTTCCCTCCCACCCCCATCTCTGTGCCGGTCTCTTTGTTCCCTTTCTGTCACTTTATCCTATCTCCTGTAGGATCTCTCTCTTTATCCTATATATAAATGAACAATGTTCCTAATCATATCTTTTTGGTATAAAAATGTTAATACAATAGATGAAATACCAATGTTAATATAATTAAATACTACCCAATAAAGAACCAATGTCCCGAGATGCTAAAGCCTATCCACAGGACAATGTGATCTTCTTCATAATAAACCTATTCATGCTCCTTATTAATCCTAGGGAAGTGTCATTTAAAATTAGCAACAAACAAACCTCTACTTTAAGGGTTTGTTTTTTTTTTACTGTAATTCAGATGATTTTCTTGCATTTTAGTGGCAATTTATGGAGTTTGGGTGCTTAGGACAGAGCCTTGGAAACCTACACAAAGTTTTGCATATAAAAATATTCAGTAATTGTTCATTAAATGTTATCAACTACATATACTTTATAGGCTGTGTTGGAAATGTAACCACAGCATACATAACATTATTCTCTAAACATGTATTCCAAATTCAAGAAACACTAACATCTCTGCTTAATAAACTCAAATGTTAAGAACTGGAATTGCTTCCTGCCTTGACTCATCTTTCAGATCAGATACAACTTCCCTGAACACAATAAGCTTTACCAGTGAAAACCTATTGCATGCATGATTGCCACCATCTCCTCTCTCACCATGCTCACAGAATAACATCACCTAATGTACTGAAAATTAACCAGCTCCCACCTTCCTATGTATCCTGGCTCGTTTAAACCCCTTCTCAAGACACTGCATGCTATACTAAATTTCACATTTTCTGTCCTCTTTCTCAAACCCTAGACTGCATTTCAGTGAATCAGTCACTGCTTGCAGTTCAACCAATATTTGAAAAGAGTTCTTATTTCCAAGTAAGCTGACTGTGTAAATAATTGAAAACATAAGAGGAACAATGAAGGCATCCTTTACCCATGCATAAGCAAGTCATCTACTGTTTGTTAAAGGGTTATAGAGGGATTTATTTAGTATGTCTGTGCCCCATAAGTAGTTCTTAACAGGCTTCCAAGTGTCTTTTACCATGACCCATTTTAGAAAATTGGAATCACTTCTACCTCACAGGGATGCTAGTTGCAGCATCATCCTTAGGCCCAGGAGCTTTATAAGAACCCCAGAGAACTCAGCTGTGGCCTTTCTCTTGCTGTGCCCCTCCTTATGGGATAGGGAGTTTATGGAGTCAAGAGGATATGTCCTCTGGAGCCTGGGCTCCTTGTCTCCCCCTCCAGATCACTGTGATCGTGGACCACAAACTTTCCTGACCCAGTCCATCTCACCGAGAGTTAACAGTGCTGCCAGTACACATCTGTGCCAAAGCTATGGCCAGAGATGGCTGTTGGCTAGAAATGGAGTTGACAGAAAGACAGGAGACAGCTGGGAGAAGAAAGCGGGAAGGGGAGCTGAGGACCGGAGCATCATTCGGTTCTTCCCATGCCATCATGTCCCAGTGCAGAACTCAAAGTGCTTCAAGGAGGCGAAACTTGAGCCTGGTTTTCCAGATTGATTCTTACAAAGGTGTGTTGACAAAGTAGGAGAGTGGATTTGTTTATAAACTACTTAGCCTAATGGAATAGAGCCTTGTATTTATACGTTATCTCTAGACCCTACAAATGTTAAGGACAGGCTTTGCCATGAGGGCAACAAGTAACATAATGTTCAAGAAATTTTAGTTCCAGCCTGGCATGGTGGCACACGCCTATAATTCCAGCCGTGGGTAGACTGAGGCAGGAAGATCACTGCAAGTTCAAAACCAGTTTGGGCTACCAAGTGAGCTCAAGGCCAGCCTGAACCACGGAGCAAGACCCTGTCTCAAAAATACACATACACACACTCGCAAAGGAAGAAAGAAACTTTAGTTCCATATTTTCTATTACCATCCACAACTCTGCCCCTGCTGTTCCTTTAATCTCCACATTTCTGCATCGTTATTTGAAGGCCAGTATTAGCATAACATGGCCTCTTGTCTCCTCCCTCCCTCCCCATTTCCCTATTCAGCTGCAGTCAGTCTCTCTCCCTCATACAAACTCTTTTACAGCAGAATTACTTACAGCCATTTGCATTCACTTCGTATCTTCTCTAGTTACTAGCCGACATGCTCCTGAATGGCAGGATTTGTTTCTGACCCACCCTTGTTTCCTGCTCTGCTCTGCGTATACAAGTGCTCAGTAAATATATACTGAATATCATCAACTGGAGAAAAGATGGATTTCTAAGTAACTACATATTGCAGTGGAAACTCATTCATTCATTCAGACTAAAACTCTGTAGTTACATCTGAAGAATGAAAATTGAATTTGAGTGATTCCGTAGCCTGCATCAGGAAGTTACAACAGATATCTCATGATTTCGTTTCAGGCAGGGAAGGAAAAATAGAAGGCACACAACTTTAGCTGAAGGAAGCTAAGAGCACCGCAGCACCTATTGTAGCTCTCATAAAATTCTACTGAAGGCAAAGCATCCAGGGTCTGTTCTCCAGCTTAAATTGTCAGAAGCTTTTAGAAAAGACCTTATAATTTTTTTGATAAAATATAGTAAGTAATTCTAAATATGGTTATAGTTAACAGCCACTATGCTCAGCTTGAATATTAGTAATTAATGAAGGAAAAAAACTTGACTTCAGGCTGAACTTTCCTTTGCTCTGCTCCTGCTGAGACAGTGAATCAGCTCCTACTTTACTAGATGACATTAATAGAAATTATGTTTATGTTTATATTCTAGTTTCCTAAATGTGTTGAGAAAAATAAGCCATTATTCTACCCAAAACCACCTAAAACCTTTGCTCCTAACACTTGTTTAAATTCATTGGATGCTACTAACTATGCAAAAGAAGCCAACATACAAAGAAATCTTGAAAGATCGCAATGGATCAGTTCATACAATCACGATTTTACAGGTATGTTTTCACATTAATACAAGTAACAATGACAATAGAATTAGAATATGCAACAAAGGACAAATGGTGTCACAAGCTTTCATCATGTAATATTTTTCCCTGTGTCTCAATCTAAGTATTAATTCAAATAAGGGAGATGGTAAATTTCTCTTAAGTGGGTAGCTAGGAGACAGAATTCATTTTCATTTTATTGGTCCTATTACAAAGTTTTCTTATAAAAGATAATTTAATCTTCATTTATGCTACCAAAATAATAAAACTGTTTCCATTAGGCCTGGGACCCATGAACCCCCTTGAACTGGATGATTACCATGAAAAGGAAGTAGCAGACTTAACAGGACAGACAGAATTTGACCCATTGCCTGTAAGTAATTGCAGTCAACTTATAGTTATCTGTAGGAAGAGCATCCCAATGTTGAGCTCCTTGCTTTGCCTATATTTTATTTGTGTCATGAGTACTGGAGGCCATTCTAGCAAAGAAAAAAATCTACCTCATTTAGAAGCTAGTTTTTAACTCATCTTCACTGTTTAAAAAAAGGTTCTTCACAGTGCAATTTCTCAAACAAATTTTCTATTACACTTCTGTTGCTAAAATAACTTACAAAGAAATTGGTTTACAAAACAATAGAGCTTAACTAGTAATTCAGCAAAATTCTTAATAAATTCTGGATTTTTGCATATTTGTATATTTTATACATTACCATTGCTTTTGAAGAAACAAAGACTTCTTCCTAATATTCACAGTAGTTGAGTTTGCTGAATTATAATCAAAAGCCAATAAATCTCTCCCTATATCAATAGAAAACTCTTAAGTAATTATGTAAAATGGCCTGGAAAAAATGATCAGTCCCTTTCATAACAGAAGGTATAACCTGTTCACTTAATTATGAAAATGGAATGAAGTGACTTAATAGTATGCATAGATGTTATCTGAGGCCTAAATTTTATGCTCTCCAAAAGATATGTTATAAAAAGACACATAAAAAGCTATAGATTTATTTCAATATGGACTCCTTTTGGACTGAGCTGAACACATTGGTTTTATATTAGTTTCAGCATTTCCTATGGTGTAATATAAAATCATAATACCAGAAATGAGCCCATGGACTGTGCAGTATCATTCACTGAGGGTTATTTTGAGTTTTCACTTGTGATAGGTATTCTCTGTTGCTAGAGATTATATAATGTGACACTTCAGATGTGTTCAACAGCTCTCCAGATTTCCACCTGACCCTGCAAGTCTAGCTGTAAAGTAGTAAAAGCTACTCCTTGCTACTGTAAAGTGGTGTGATATTCTGACTTTGAAAACTGTTAATGATATGACCGGTTTTTTTAATGATAAATTTAACAAAGTATGTCAGAGAGCTTGAGTTTTTCTTTCCTTTACAGTGCATTTTCCCTAACTTGATTAACTGGGAGTTATAACATTTTATTAGTGATTCAGTATAGAAATTCCTCCCACTATTTTTTTTATTTTAAAGAGAAAAAAGAAAAATCAAGAAGCAAGCAAAGCAAAAAAACAACAAAAACAAAACGACAGCAACAAAAAGCAACAGTAGCAAGATGCCAGGAATTAACGGTGGTTGTTATATTGCATATTGTTTTCAAAATAGTTGCTCAGATTACCAGATGCAGAAATAAAACAAAACAGTAAGACAGAACAGAACATTGGATTTCAAAAACAAGACAGAAGGAAATCCCCCACAGTTGCTATAATGCATATTATTATTCTCCAAATAGATGCTCAGACTCCCAAATTTAGGTCTGCAAAGTCAGTGCACAAGATAAACATTAAGTTATTTTTTTTAAAAAGATCACAATGGATCAGTTCATACAATCACGATTTTACAGGTATGTTTTCACATTAATACAAGTAACAATGACAATAGAAGTTGCCATCATCTCAGCTTGAGTTCAACCAAATCAGCCAGTGACTTGGGAGAGAGAGTATTTGCTCTTCTTGTCTCCCAGCCCACATACTGGCTGGCTCAGGAAGGCATGGTTTGGCTTCTTGATTCTCTTGTCATTCCCCATGGCTGCCCCTGACTCAGGAGAAGGCCTCCCCTTACTAGTAATAGATTACATTCCAAAAAGATGATCCAAAATTCATTCTTTTTAAAGTTCAAGTTAGTTATTGTTTTCTCACCACATTCATTTTTATTATCTCTGTTAACTTCATCAGCATTATACATACATGTTTTACTGTTTTATTCAACATATTATAAAAATTTTCAAGCAGAAAAGTTTAATAAATTTACAGTTAACACGCATATGCTCACCACCTAGATTCGCCCATCAATACTTTAACGTACTTGTTCTATTACATAATTTATACATCTTTCCATCTCTTATATTTATTCATTTTATAGTAAACAGTAGCGTAATTCTCTCCTAAACATTTGACATCCACATCATTAACCAGAGTTTGATATTTTTAGCAGTTGTTTTGCTTTCAACATGACATAGTCACTAAAATTGCATAAATCTTAAGCGTACATTCCCTAAGTTTTGACAAATACATATATCTTTTTATCCCAAATATCATAATGTACAACAATATCATCATTCCAGAAAGTTTCTTCATGCCCTTCCCAGTCAACCCCACCCTCTTCCTCCTGACCCAGACATATCTCTATTAATGGCACTTTGAATATAATTTTGTAGTTTCCAGATGTGATTGAGATTATATTATTTGTAAAACATTTCAAAAAGGAACACAGGTACAACATTTGTAACATATCTCAAAAATAAGCATGGATAGGGGCTGGAACAGTAGCTCAGTGTAGAGTATGTGCTTAGCATGCAACAGACTCTGAGTTCAATTCCCACCACCAAAACATAAATACAAAAGCACAGGTATAAAACCTCAGACCAGTGCTTCTCAATGCATAGCATGTCACAGATCTTAGCAGCACATGAGATCCTTGTTTAAAATGCAGATTCTTGAACTGAGAGAGTAGCTCAATGGTACAGTGCATATTTCACATACACAAGACTCTGGATTCAATCCCCAGCACCAAAAAGAAAAAACAGATTTCTGAGCCTCACTGCAGACTTTGTTAAGCAGTCTTAGTAAGTAAAGGTTAGGAATATCACTTTCTTTTTTTTTTTTTTTTATCAGTACCAGGGATCAAACTCACGACCACACGCTTGCAAGGAAGGCACTTATGAATCCCCAGCCCCTTGGAATATCACTTGCTCTCAGTTCTGAAGAGTATTCTGATTTAGCCAATGTTTTAGAATCTTTGCCTTGGCCTAATAAAGAAGTTTTGGCTGAGATTTACATAGTTGCCTCCCTATCTGAGATGAATATACAATTCTCAGATGAAGAAGTACAGATGTCAAATAAACATACGAAAAAATGTTTAACATCATCGATCCTTTGAGAAATGCAAATTAAAACAACACTGAGATTCTATCTCATGCCAGAAAGCATTGCCAACATCATGAAATCAACCAATAACAAATGCTAGAGGGGCTATGGGGGAAAAGGAACACTCCTCCATTGATGGTGGGAATATAGATTGGGACAACCTTTGTGGAAATCAGTGTGAAAATTCCTCAAAAAACTAGAATTAGTGGTCCCGTTTGAGGCAGAAGAATTAAAAACATCTTACTACAGTGCTATATGTGCATCCATGTTTATAGCAGCACAATTTGTAATAGCCAGATCTTAGATACAACCCAAATGCTCATCAACCAAGGAATAGATAAAAAAAGATGTGGTATTTTTATATAAGGGAGTACTACTCAGTTATAAAGAAGGATAGACTTGAGGCTTTTATAAGTAAATGGTGCAACTTGAGACCATACTCATTAATGAAATAAATCAGACTTTGATGTGTAAACACCATATTGTCTCCCTAGTGTAAAAAACTGAAAAAGTAAATAAGATCCAAAAGGTACAATAGATATTATGAAAGGGAAAGAAATTCTCAAAGGGAAAGAACAATTCAGATGGGGGAAAGGAGAAAAGGAAAGGAAAAGGAAGAAATATATAAATACATATATATATATATATATATACATATATATATATGCACACATACATACAAAATAGCTAAGATAATTGTACTACTAATACTATTAGTTCAAGGAAAGGAACAATGCTTATATTGTTTGATCAGTTTTACATGTCTATATCTGACAATCTGAGCATCTCTCTCAAAGATAATATGTAATATAATAATTGTTAAATTCCTGTCCTTATCTTGAAATCCTGTATCACTATTGTTTTGGGATTATTGTTGTTTGTTTGTTTCTTTTTTGTTGTTGTTGTTTCTTCTGTGTGTTTTTTTAATAAAAATAAATAATTATTGCCCACCACTGTTAATTCCCTCTGTTGGTGATAGTTAGATATTTCATTTCACTAATTCTTTTTATACATTTGTAAGTTTGAAAGCAAAGAGTTCTCATATAGAAGAGTTTAAGGCTGGGCATAGTAGCACACATATCCATAATCCCAGCATTTAGGAGGCTGAAGCAGGAGGATCGCTACAAGTTTGAGGCCAGCCTGGGAAACAAAATGAATTCAAGGCCAGCCTGAACTGCAAAGCAAAACCCTGTCTCAAAAAGTAAAAAATAAAAGATCTTATTACCAAATAAAAAGCATGACTTTTCTGTATTATCTAAAGCCAATAAAACATAAAACTTCGTTTATTTGGGTACAAATTTCAGTGTCCTTAAATATGTGTCTAACAACCTTGCAATATGCTTTCCTATACCCATCTCATTTTTACTCAGTGAAAATTGGTATAACTGTTGACCTGCAACTTGTTACAGTATCCTTATAATGTCCTGCTTATTAATCAATTGATTTTCTTTTTTATCACACTGCTTACAGCAAGAAAAATTCCACTCTGTCTATAAACCTTGCAGACCCTTGGAAGGGAGAATTGCCAGACTTAATCAGAATCGACGTGCCCTGGAGGCTGCTGTTCAGCAAAGACTGCTAGCTTCCTGTCCTGATTGTACTCCTAGAGTTTTGTGCGATTTTCATACCTTTGGACCTAGTTCTGCAGAAATACTGGCACTAAGCAATAATATACGATCTGGTGTGACCCATAGAATCCAGGATATTGAAGAGAAAATTAAGAAAGAACAAGGCTTTCTGTCTAACTATCCTCCCTCACCTTGTAACTCAGCAAAAGATTTCACTAGCATTTATGATACAAAACCATTTCGAAAAATCACAGATACTCAAAAGACCGATGATTTGTATTGGAGACAGCTGTCATTAAAACCCCCATCCATACCTTGCTATAAGTCAAGTGATTACATTGACTATGAAGATTTTAAATCTACTCTACGTGATCCATATACTCTATATCAAAACTCTGTTAGCCTTAGTAAGCCTAGTATTTTGCAAAATACACAAGAAGACATGAAAACTTGCACTTTAGAACATTTTTTAGGTACACCAGAAGAACAGCTGGGCATGAACATAGAAAGCAATGAAGAAACAAGACCTTTTTTAGGTTGGATTCCCAGAGCACTGTCCAAGCCTCACACCAACCTGCTGGATCTTAAGAACTCTTTTTCAAAAACTGGTGCACAAAAACGTTTTCGTAATTCAATTCTAGAAGACCATAAAGACCTCAGAGATAAAGTGAACTCAGGGATGAAACACCAGTTCTTTGGACATAATTCTTATTATTTCCATAATTGAGATACTCCTTCTTTTCTTCAAAACGCAGCCTCTTATAAAAGAAGAAAAAAATATAACAATTTCCTTTGTTTTGCTGGGTACAATTTCTAAATTAAGCCACAAAGACCTTGTTAATGAGGTTTATGTTTTTAGGAATTTAAATTAGGATCTGATCAGAAGAACCCCACAAATGTGATGTTCTGACTTTTCAAACAGTTTAACAATTTGTCAATAAATATTGGAACCAGAAAAATTTTAGTCTTTACTCTCATTTTAAAAAATTATGAAAAAAATCAGTAGCAAAGTTTACATTGTCACTGTTATAAAAAAAAATGAAAATTTGAGTCAGGAATGGTGGCATTTGTCTGAAATCTCAGCACTTGAGAGGCTGAGGCAGGAGGCTCACCATGAGTTCAAATCAAGGCCAGCCTGGGCTACATAACAACACATTAACTCAAAAAAAAGTTTTTACCAAAAAATGCTCAAGAATTGACAAATGATTCTACAACCTATAGCTGAAGAATTAAAACATTCAGGAAACCCCTCTTGCCTTGTCACTCGGTCGGAACAACCAGATGTTCTGACCTGATAGGGAAGTTGTGATCCGACGTCCCCAAAAATAAGTGCACCATGAACTATCGACCCTGCCAGACAGGATATGAGTTTTCAAAAACATCAAGCCACCTGCCGCAGATAGCTCACCCACCAGTAAGCAAATGACACGACCCCTGTTAACCAATGCCATCTGCTTCTGTAACCGACGCTTGCTTTACGGCTTTCGGCTTTATATACTTTGCACTTCCCTACTCGGCACTCTCTCTCCCGCTCCCCTTTCCCACCGGAGTGCGGTCGGAGGGTCCCTCGCATGCGCGGACAATAAAACCCCTTGATTTTTCATGAGAGCTGGATCCTTGGGGCCTTCTTTGTGATGGTGATCTTACATAGTATATTACTAAAGTACACAAGTCAATACTATCCCTTTATGTAAATGTTTACACAAAATAACATCACTAGAAAATACAAAACTCAAATCCCCAACTAAGTGCAGATGGACATCTCCACAAACTATTACCATGAAAACTATGTAGATAGGGGGCGGGAAAAAAAAAGAAAAAAACTATGTAGACCGTGCTCATTTATGTAAGCAGGTAGACAAGTGGAAGAGATGAAACTCAAAATGGTCTGCATGTACATTATTTCAAGTTAGAAATGTTTCCTTCTCTTTAACCTTGTGCTGGAGAAACATTACTGTTTTAAGCAGATAAAATTGTTTTATTGTAAATATCTAATGGCTTTAATTACTATTGATTTCTAATTGTGGCAAGAAAGGAAAATTTCATATTAATTATTTCTAGAGCTCAGCATCATCATTTTTGGAAAATGGTCATCAAGAATTTAGCTAACTCCCAAATGCAAGTCAATGCATTTACTATATCAAAAGGTTTATTTTTAAACATGGTTCATCTTGTATAAATGTCTTTCAATTTTTTTCATGATCAACATGTCATTTGACTACACCTTTCTTAAAACCATGCTGAGCTTGTTATAACTCGGGCCTCGGTATAAAATCTAAAGAAGCAAGAGTCCGAAAATTTAGGTAGCAAAGGCTTTATTGAGCCAGTCCTGACGGCACAGTCTCTACCGGATCGACCCAAAGACTGCACACCCCAAGACTGGGAAAAGGGGTTTTTAAAAGTAAGGGAAAGTGGTTGGGGGGGAGAAACCTGCAAGGCCATTAAATCTGTTGACCTGCATCTGGAAACTGTATTGTTGTCCACTTAGCTCTGACAATCTCAGGAGTTCCTGGTGTTCCTCAAATTACTCCCATCCTACAGACTGACATTATCTCAGAGTGGCACGTCTGCAGCAATATTTGGAGAAGAAAGTGGAGAGTTAATTATCCCAGGACAGCTCGTCTTCGCTAGTGAGTGCAAAGGGGTCACAAGTTACAAGAAGCTGAAACTTAAGTTTTACAAAGATCTGATATCTAACTCATTTGATGCATGCAGAACAAAAGGAAAGCACCGATCGGGGTTTGGGCCATAGTATTACCCGGTAATTTCTTTGAAGCTAAACAGTTCTTAAAATTGGGCCAGGCTCATTTTATGACAGATCATCACCGGGTCGGGAAGAGGTCACCAGAAACCCAAATTCTTTATGGCCCAGATAGGTGGATGGGGGAAGGCAATAAGGCTCGCTACAGAACAGGAAAACGTCGGGTATCTATCTTGCTGGAAAGGGAATCAAGGTTAGGTAAAAAGGTTAAACTCATACGCAAATCTCCCTGCATATAAACAAGTTACTTCAAACAAGTGTAAATTAGTGGGCCATCCTAGTTTTCTTTAGCTCTTTAGCGAAGAATAGAGGCGCCTAACCGTGATTAACAACCCTTGTTAGCTTGTTTTAGCACCACTCTTCTTGTTTGTAGAGGGCTGCTCTGGTTAACATATCAATTAAGTGAAATTCTTGCAATTCTTTACAGAGGAGAGCATTGCTCAACATATCAATTAGGTCACAACATATCAGGGAAAAAGGATAAAAAACATTTAGTAAGCCACGTTGCAGGTGTGCTATAATACACAAAATGATGAAGCTGCTTTCTTAGAGTACAACAAGCTAAAATTAAAATTTTTATCAAGTTGCACCTATATTACACTAGTTAGGTATTATGGGAGGCAAAAATGTTCCCAGTAAAATACTGAAGAAAACCGGAGGTAACAAAATCAGTCACTTGACAACCCCACATGATTCTCCATGATTATAGCTCAGTAATAAGGCCCTTCCTTAGCATGCATGAAGCCCTGGCTTCCATCCCAATGACCACAAAAAAAAAGTGTAGTTGGGAATGTCCTTGGGGGGGTACTGCCTTGTTAAATGAACTGGATCCTTTTGTCATAGACCGTATTGAACGGAGATTCCAAAGAACAAACTGGAAGATGCAACCCTTAAATATAGAAACTTAGAGCTTTAGTCGCATATTTTCCCGTGGGTTGCAGGAGTATAGAATTGCACTCTGACTAGACAGAGGTGTTCCCTTGGTCCCTGCCAAGCAGAAGTGGCCCATTCTTCAGTGGCCGAGTATTGTCAGCTATCGCCTTCAAGTCTCCTCAGAGGAAGCCTGTCCTATTCCTAAAGATATAAGGAAATGAAACTAGCAACCTACTAGATGTCCAGTAAGAGTTAGTGTTCTCTAAAAACAAAGAATGAATTTTAGGATAAACGGAGGTTAAGAGCAGAATATATTTATTGAGTGAAAGAAAGCAACTGTCCGAAAGAGAGAGAGGAGAGGGAGTTCCTTGTCTTTTGTAGGAATTTTTATAGAGCAAAACCACAGGTGAAGTAGGTCCAAGGTGGGGAAAAATGGGGCCGCATAAGGCAGGAGGGCATGAATTGGGACACAACTATGGTCAACCAGTAAGATGAGGAGTGTAATTGTTTAGATAAATTGATTAAATCTGGAACAAATGAGGAAGCTAGACACTTAGCAAGCAAATATGAGTACAAAACAGGGCCTTTTCCTGCAGGGGCTTGGGTTAGTGGCTCCTGGCTTCCTGAAGGTGATTGATACCTGTTTAGAATATCAATCCCTGATATTTATCCTTAGGGTGTGATTGCATTTGTTTTGTCTTTTGTCTTGAGATCTGGCCCACAGTTGGACATGTCTTGTCTCCCCTGACAGTTGCAAGGTATCTAGCCTTCAGCACTGGCTCCTTCAAGGGCCTGTCTGTCTGACTGCCTATAATATTTCTAATTAACTCAGCTGCCTATAACATTAACTGCTGATTGTTAGGGCTAATGAACCTGGCCTTATTTTGTGATAGAGACATAACACCTACACTTAAATCATGCTTATCAGAAACCAAGGTTGAAAAATCTTAGAAGAGACTTCCAGGTTAAAGTAGATTAAATTCATGCATCTAATTCACTTATTTTTTAAAGGACACACAATAAAAGTACAATGAAGTTAATTGGTAACTTTTTAATAAACCAAATAGTATCATGGTGGAGTCAGATGTGTACTAACATCAAGGGAAGTTTTAGAAAGAAGACAGCTGAAAAATTCTAACTGGCTGAACACACTGAAACCCTAAAATGGCAGTGAGGGAAAAAGCCTGATTACACAACCGAGTCCTTCAAAAGCTCAATTCAGTGCCAGCCAGGAACGTTTGAGTCTGACAGGTGGGCATGATTGAGGTTGGAGATGGATGCACTATTGCTCTTGGCAATTGGGTGAAATTGCCACTCCATTCAAGATGCTGGGCAACTGCCCTTCCTGGCCCTGACAGAAGTCCAGAGGGTTATATTCTGAAAAAAGAAAAAACAGGATTTCTGACATGAAGAATACCAGGCACAGCTGAGAACAGGGTACTGTTCTGAAAGTGAGAAAGAAGTGATCATGCCAGTCAGAAATTTTAACTGCATATTAAACAGACCCACAAAGTATTTCACTGGTGGGACGCAAGTGGCTATTTGCAGAGATGTGAATATAGATAGCTAAATTAGGTGGAAATATTATAGGCAGTCAGACAGGGCTGGGCCCTCCAGTGGTCAATGTAGAAGACAGCTGTGGTTGGAGGCACATTCACTGAAGGCTGGAATTCAAGAAAAAAACACAACTATTCCTATGTTTCCCCTAGCGATGAACAGCAGTAATTGATATTCTAAGTAAGCATCCATCATTTTAGGATAGGGGACCTAGCCTCCTTAACCCACCCCTTCCAGGAAAAACCTTGTCCTTTGCAGATGCGCTTTATATGCAACTTGCTTCACCATTTGATCTCCATGTAATCAATATTACCTAAGCAACTACATTTGTTTGTTTGTTTTTTTATTGGTACTGGAGATTGAACTCATGACCGCCTGTTTGCAAGGCAGGTGCTTATGCCGCTGAGCTAAATCCCCAGCCCATAAGCAACTATATTTGTGATCTTACTGGTTCACCATAGTCTTGTCCCAGCTCATGCCCACCTTGCAATTTCCCAATGGATCAATATGACCTAAGCCACTATACTTATAATCTCATTGATTATAAGTCTGTCCCACCTTAAACCCACCTCACCTCTTGACTTTACTCAATACAACACCCTTGAGAAGCAGGGTTGGTGAGCAGCTCACTTTTCAGGCCCCCTTCTGTCCCACTTAGACTGAAGTTTGCTTTCTCTCAATAAATTTTCCCTACTTTTAACCACTGTTGTTCCTAGAATTGATTCCCCAGTTTCAGAGAACATGAATTTGCATTTTGGACGTCTAGCAGGTTGGGAGTTATATTTCCACTATATCATGAGCAGTATTAAGGGAACTTCCAGGGGACAGTAAGGCACCCAAAAACTAGCAAAGGGAGAAGCCTTAACTACTCTTCACCCCTTAGGAAAAGCTTACAGAGTCCTAACCCCACCAGCATTACTCTATCCAACCTGAAGAGAGGAACTCAGGAGGCCTACAAGATGCAGGTCTTAGAGGTCAATGAGGGAAGACAAAGAAGGGGAAGAAATGGACATAGGTGGGAAAAAGAATAACCAGCTATGTGATCCATACTTATTGGGACACAATTATAATGTAAGCATATTAATATAATAGCAATCTTATAAGCATTTCATGATCAATTAGAGGTCACTGATCAAGTTTCTATTCTGCTGCTTCTGCTGAATTCAATTGAGGTTGACAGTGTCTAAAGTCCAGCTGCGTATCTGTGATAAGCACTGAATCAGAGTAGTTGTCTGTACCTTAAGGCACCCCATGTTAGTCAAGGACACTCTATAAAGGCTCTCTCCCTGAAATGTTTCTATAGTATGGTAATGCCTTTAACTGTTCTCACTCTGTTAGGGCCCCCTCCCCTAGATCCCAGAGTGTTTCTGTATTATGATAAACAATTCCTTTATTTCAACAGATCTGTTCAAGAC